TTTTCTTTTAATTATATTTTTTATTTTTTTATAAAAGTTTAAAGAATTATTAGTTTTCGGTTGCTGATTTAAGAATTTCTGCATTGTAGTTAGCAGGTTTTATATTTGTAGACAAGTTCTCTTAGATTTTAGGATAGTTTTTTTTTTAATTCCTTTATATTTTGGTCATTTTCTTATATATATTTTTTTTTACTTTTTTATTTTCATTTTACTTTTATTTTTATTTTTTATTTTTTACTTCTCTATGAGAAAAGATCTTTAGATTAGTAACACTCTATTATAAAGCAGTGATTCTACAAAGTCAGTACTTCTATCTGTTGATATCCAGAGCTTATATCCTTAGTAAGTTGAGGATCCTGAAAGAAAAAAATTGTCACTTAGACAGGTTGCACCTGGGTCATACTCTAATGTAAAATTTAAGGTTTATTTTATTTTTTACTGTAATAATGAGACAGATTGAGTAAATTTTTATTTGAACAGAAATATAGTAGTTTAGTGATTTGTATATAGGTTTAGCTAACTAAGAGTATTTTGTAATTTACTTTTGATTTATAAAATAAAAGTAGGATCACTAAAGTAAAAAAGACAAAAGAATTATATAAAAAGTTTTTTATAAACTAGTTTTGAGATAGATTTAGTTAAAAATTAAAATTTAATTTAATTTATATTTATAGATATTTTTTAGTAAACCAGACTTAGATATATAAATATTTTGTGATTTGATTTTAAATCTATATAAACCTAGTCTAACTTACTGTAGTTTATTTTACTTTCTAGTATTGTATATTAAAAAATTTTTTATATAATTTTTAGAGCTTTACTTATAAATAATTATAAGTCAAACTCAATATGTCTTTAAACTAATTCTAATAAACTTTTTAATAATCTAATTTTATTTTTTAGAAGATAATTTTAATAATAATAAAAACTACAAATTAATTTTGTTATAGTGAAGTTGTTAAACTAAATGTCGCAGCTGATGCTGAAAACGGCTGATGCTGAAATTCGGATCTATTTTGATATGAATTTTTTAAAAATTTTTGGGGTGTTTTTTCCCCGCTTTTTTTTTATAGTTGAGTTAGTGTTTAGGGTTAGAATTGATAATTAACAAGTATATGTGGATTTTAGCAGGGCTTATATTTTTAAATCAAGACCCCAAATTTCAGCTTCAGCCGTTTTCAGCATCAGCTGCGACACTAAATTTTTTTTTATTATATCAAAATATTTATTATATTAAAAGCTTTTGACATAGTAGTTTATATTTAAAATAAAAATCTTTACTATATTGAGACTTCTATATTAAAAATTTTTAATATAATAAAGTTTATATATAAATTTAAAAATCTTCACTATATTGAAGTTTATATATAAATTTAAAAATCTTCACTATATTGAGAATATTTAAATTAGGACGTATAATTGCTAAAAATTGGTTTATATATTGATCTCGGATTTTACTAAAACGCACCTATGGTGTTTTACACCTATGTATACATTATCTCAAAAACTGACTAATTAATCGATGCGAGGTGTTCTAAGTAAAAATGTTTTACGCCCCTAAAAACCCCTCCCAAACTCTAATCCTAACCTTAATATTAACTTTAGCGTGAAAAAATTGGGGTTAAAAATTTTATATACAAACTTATATATAAAAACTTAGAAAATTTTAAAAAACAATAAAAACATATAATAGGTGCAAAACCACCATAGGTGCGTTTTATAATAATTGTAAATCTTTATTATATCAAGAGTAAATTTATTATATAAATATATTATTTTTTTTTAAAAAAAACTTCACTATATCTTATATCAAGAGTTTTATCAGTAAAGCTTTATTAAGCTTTATTATATTGAGCAAACATTAATAGTTTTGGTTTTGTTCTTTATTATAAACCGATCTTCACTATATCGTAACGAGAGTGACTTGTAGTCTGTATGTAGTCCGGATGATCCGATTTGTGATATTTTTGAACCAATCTTATTGAGATTTATTAATAGAGACGATCACCTCTGAGCATACTTATTATATATATACGTTATATATTAAAGTTCGAAGTCCGAAATATTTGGCACAATCAAACATTTTATCTTTCGAACTTTTGATCAGTAGTTTGTCATTCCTAAATCTTCATGGCAACAGAAATAAAGAAAGTTAAGTTAACTTCTTCAGAAGGAACGGAATTCATAATCGATCGAAAAGTAGCGGAAAAATCTGTTCTATTGAAGAATATGTTGGAAGATGTTGGCGAAAGTGATATGGGTAAGAGTTGCAGCAGTTGTTATTAGTGGTACACATAAAGAAATAGTAGAAAGGTGTTATCTAAATATTGAGAGACAAAGATTAATATTTAATCTATGTTTACTTAATAAAGGTGCGTTTTACTTGTAAGATATTTTGGAAACTTACATTAGCAATACAAAAAAAAAAGAAAGTTGAATAGAAGGATAATTTATAGAAAACAGAATTCATATAAGTTGAATTTTGGAATTATCATACACATATCTTTAAAATGAATAACTTTTGATCCATTGGATTTTAGCGATTTTGTACTCGTTGGAATCATCAAATGGATTCAAAGTTATTCAAATTCATAATTCCAAAAATCAGCAGATATGTATTCAAGTTAAAAAAACAAGATATATATAAAGTTAAAACAAAAGAGATATATATATATATAATTAATGAGATTCATTTTTGATCACATCAAATAATAGCGATACCTTTACCAAACGTTACCGGACCTATTCTCAATAAAGTTATTGATTACTGCACACATCATCAAGATGATCCGTTCGTAAGTCAAGAAGATGATAGTAAGAAAGTGAGCGATGATATTGACGATTGGGACGCAGAATTCTGCAAGGTAGATCAAGGAACATTGTTCGAATTAATTCTGGTGAGGATTATTTTTTAATTGTTTACTGCAAAGTGTATACACAATATTATTATTATTATTATGATTGCTAACATGGTTTTAATTTTTATTAAAGTCTGCTAATTACCTCGACATCAAACCTCTCCTTGATCTCACTTGCAAAACTGTCGCCAACATGATTAAAGGAAAAACACCAGATGAAATTCGCAAGACTTTTAATATCATAAATGACTTTACACCAGAAGAGGAAGAACATGTTCGTAAAGAGAACGAATGGTGTGAAGAACGATGATTTGCAGTTATTGGTACACAATTTTTTTTTCATTTCAGGAATAAAATTTGCACATGAATTCAATAATTCGACAGTTATTTTTTTTCAACATAGTATAAATATTGTTCTGTTCCCTTTATTTTTGTTCAAGATTTGTCAACCCTTTTTTTTGATCCTGGTTCGATCAATATGAATAAATTAACAGGCATATTCAGATGCTGTCAAATAAACACACATTACCTTTTGAGTAAATTTTTTGAATCCGGGTTTATTAAATTTAAAATTGAAAATGTAGTGATGTTACACTAAATGTATTTATTTATATATGCACAGAACATTCTTAATGCTAACATTTGCGTTAGGGCTTAAAATATATGAAATCGACGCTTAAAGTATACAAGTAACCTAAAATACTAAACAAATAATTTCAAGCTTTTAATAATTCTTAATACTTCTTAGAAGGTGATTCGACACCTTTACGACTTTCAAAGAATTCCTTATTAATAGTTATAAGCTAGAATTATATATAAAATAAAATTTATTCAGAGTAATTACTCAAGATTAGGACGAAAATAAGAATGGAACCTGAATAAGAACACATACCTTTGGATTCTCGTGTTGTTTAACATTGTTCCAAGGTAACGGGTGACCAATCCTGTTAACCATTACTTCCGGACTGTTTCGCAAACAGTACAAAGAATACCTATTTATCGTAATCAAATTTAAAATTATTAAAATCCGGCATGTTATCC